AGAGGAACGTGAACCTCCTGTAGTGTCTCATCATGCAGAGTCCTGAACCGGCTCTGGTTTCTACAGAGGAACGTGAACCTCCTGTAGTGTCTCATCATGCAGAGTCCTGAACCGGCTCTGGTTTCTACAGAGGAACGTGAACCTCCTGTAGTGTCTCATCATGCAGAGTCCTGAACCGGCTCTGGTTTCTACAGAGGAACGTGAACCTCCTGTAGTGTCTCATCATGCAGAGTCCACTTTTGGCTCTTGTGTTCCAGGAGGGTGTGTTGGCTCGTCGTTGGCGCCACCCCACTGTGTCCATCCATGGCATTGAAGGTGCCTTCTCAGCTTCTGGCTCCAAGACCGTCATCCCTGCAAAGGTCACGGGCAAGTTCTCCATTCGTCAGGTGCCAAACATGGACCCCAAGGAGGTGGAGAAGCAGGTGTGTAGTGGGCAACGTTAGATGTTTACCATCTACAGCCAGTAGATGGTAAACATCAGCATTAAAAGTGTGGATGCTTTTGAAGAAGAAGAAAATATTTCTTATTTTTGTTGTGTAATATGGAACTAAAGTAAATTTAAGAATTCCCAGAAAAAAAGTATTTTACATTGCAAAGTGTAAAATAAAAATAAATGTGAATCATAAAGAAGGACCTTTGTAACTGTTCACAACCTGCACAAGTGGGTGCTGAGCCACAACTATATTTTGGTGCTGGTTTGACGTGTCCCAGGTGAAAGGCCACCTTGAAGACGTGTTTGCTAAGAGGGGGAGCCCAAATAAGCTGAAGGTCTCCATGGTGATAGGGGCCAAGCCCTGGTTGGCTGACATCCAGCACCCGTTGTATGAAGCTGGAAAGGCAGCGGTGCAGAAAGGTACTCTGGGGCGATGGGGTGGTGAGTGACCACAAGGGGGCAGTAAACACTGATCCTGCCATTAAGGCTGGTCCCAAAGGAAATGATTCTCCAAAACACTTTAGAACAGCAATAATAATAATAACACAAAACGATAATCTTTCATAATACATGTTTGTTCTGAGATCCAATTGCTGAAGATTGCTATGAATAACTATTACACAATAACTATTTTATTTCTGCTTTTGCTGCTGTTGTGGTTTGCAATCAGCAGGGAAATCCCCCAGTTTAAAAACACATTCAGGAGAAAACAGACGGAGTGGAATCCCTGCACAAACGTCTCTCCCCCAAAAAACAAGCTGTGAGGAACTGAAACACTGAAGACAGTTAGATCCATGGTCTGAGTCACACTTACAGACTGTCCGGCACACATCCACCACGCACTATCACTCTCCATGTCTAGTGAAAATTCACGCAGATTGTGTGAATTTGTGCATCTGTGTTAGCGAAGCAAACCTGACTCTAGATTGACTTGCATGTGCCATTTCCTGGTTGTATTTGCATTTGTTTTTTTATCAGATGTTTTTGTTCAATACAGCATAGGCAGATCGGACACCACAAATTTACTGACCTGCCTTTCCACACACACATGAACTTTAGTGACACCTCACTCTTAATAGTGGTAGTGCTAAGGGGCAGGCGCTGATCACAGTACGTCACCACATCCACCACGTGACACCATGTGGCAGGTGATACCTCAGCACCACACCAGTCCAAACGGACCAGTGTGAGGTTTTTTTCCAGTGGCTGGAGTGCCAATCCTGCCACCGACCCCCAAGTTTTCCCCTGTAAGTTGGAGGACCTCCTTATAGGGCTGGATGCAGATTAACGTCATAACCAGGATAAGCAATTGCAGGTTAAGGGCCGCCATTCTGTGTGCTGGGCCTCGTTAAAGGGATGGCCGCCATTCTGTGTGCTGGGCCTCGTTAAAGGGATGGCCGCCATTCTGTGTGCTGGGCCTCGTTAAAGGGATGGCCACCATTCTGTGTGCTGGGCCTCGTTAAAGGGATGGCCACCATTCTGTGTGCTGGACTTTTTGGTCACAAATCTTTCAGCTCCCCTTTCTTCCCCACTGTCTTCACTGTTGGCCCAGTTCTGACTCACCAGACCCTGAACCATCACGCCATGATTAGATTACAGATGTTCTTTGCTCTTCTGTTGCAACATGGTGTGAAATGCCCCACCCCTCCCATCCAGTGTTTAAGGTGGAGCCGGATATGATCCGTGAGGGGGGCACCATTCCTGTTGCCCGCACCTTCCAGGACGTGACTGGAAAGAGCATCATCATGCTCCCGATCGGAGGCTTTGACGACGGCCTGCACTCCCAGAACGAGAAGATAAGCAGGTGGGGGCGGCTGACAGACAGCCCACCGTGGATGACACTGCATGTCTGATTACGCACTTAGTGGCTACTTTGACCAAATGGGCTTTTAGACACGTTTATCGATTGACGCTGGTGAGACCCACTCTGGACAGGATTGTGTACAAAACCATGTGACATGAGGATGAGAGGAAGGGGCTTTGTTTAGGTATGGGCTTGTGGGAATGATATTTACACAAAGAATGTTCTCAGGGCAGAACGAAAAATGATTGGTTCAGAGAAATAACCAATCAGATTGTAGAGGAGGTGGGGCTAAGCAACTAGAGGAGGCAGGACCAAGACATCTGATTGGTTGGTCCCACCTCCACTAATTGCTTGAACCCACGGTCTACATAAAGGTGCAGGCTTAGGGGTCAGGTTTGGGAGAGAGACCACAGATAGTCTTACAGGAGTGTTGAGAAGACACAGCAGCCCTTTCGGTCACAACAGTGTCATGTCATGTAGTGCGTTTTGAAAAGTAGTTTGCCACACAGAAAGAATGAATGGCATGTAAATATGCACAGGCCAGCTACATTGTTAAACGATTGGTTATTTTATTCCCCCCTTCAGGCTAATCCAGGCAGCAATTCGTAATACACGGTTATCTCACCCCCTTTGGACACTTAATCCTCACTTAGACTGTCTCAGCAAGTTACAGCACGTCAGTAGATGAAACATGTCACTATCTTCATGTTAGTGGATATAGCAGGGGAATGTGATCACAGTAAAGGCTTTAAAAAATTAGCTATTACATAATGTTTGGTTCCCCTGTTGGAATTTGCAGATTCCCCTGCTCAAACACACCTTAATCAGTTAATTACCAGGCTTAGTAGGTATGTCTGAGCAGGTAGATCTGCAAACTATGCTGGATTCTGGCCTCCAGACACCTGACATAATGAGACACACAGTGAGCTGCCAAAATGGTTTTTGCAGGGACTGTGAGAGTAATTTACAGTGAACTGTACAGAAACCTTTCTGCTGTCAGTTATCTGTGTGAACTGGCATCCCATAAAGGCTATCGCACCGCGCTGCCTGATATTTCTGCTATCCAGTCCTGTTTTGATGAAGTTTATCAAGTAGATGTGTTAATGTTCATGTTTTAATGTCTTTGTTCAGGAAATCTTCCCTTTCAGGCATCATGTAAATACCATGTTGTTCGAATTCCTTTCCCTCAGGTACAATTACATAGAAGGAACCAAGCTGTTCGCCGCCTTCCTGCATGAAGTTTCTCAGATAAAGAGGGACTGAGATAGAGCCGCTCCCTCAGCTCGGGGTCCCGTGGGGCCCCGTGGGGCCCCGTGACGTATGAGGCCCCCGCATACATGCTCCCTCCCCCTGGCTTCATCTCAGCATGGCTGCTTCCCGCTATGCACATATTTGCCCTTTGTAGTCATGCTCACTGTAGGTGCTGCATCTCTAAACACGTGGAGATACGGATGTGTCTCTTGCTGAAGGTTGTGAGAATGTGGATTGTCCTTACGGGGATAATAAAATGGCGGTCTGGTCACCCCCAAAGGTCACCCCCGCTTGGCCTTGTTCCTTCTTCCAGAGCTCTCCTGGTTGATGTTCTGGGCTGCTTCTGTAGGACCCAGTGTGACCCGGGATGCTGAGGCGTCCTCTGAAATCATTTCGCTGTTTAGCAATTTTGGCCTACCTTATAACACAATAAGGAAAAACATGTGTAACCTGAATGCCAGGAGTAACTGATCTATGAGAGAGTAGAATGTTCTAGCGTGGTTTCCCCTCTAACAGAGTACTGAGAGGACTTTTCCCTGGGTGATGCTGAACAGTCAGCTGGGATTTGAGTGTTACATGTTACTTAACCTGTGTGTGTCTGTGTAAATGTGGCAGCCTACTTCTTCTGAGACCTGTCCCTTCCCACAATGCCCGACCCCTTGCATAACAACCACTCCCCCCTGTCACCAGGCCCCACCCCTTGTCCTCTTATCACCATACCAACACAAGAAATGTGTTAATTGTTTACTTATTCATCTCTTGAAAAATCAGCTAAATGACTAACATGTAAAACAGTAGACAATATATAGTATATTAGAAAATAATCATATATTTTAATTCACCGAAAGGACCCCTGGTTTATAAACAGATATATAAACTGTTTTTTTTTAGGTTGGTTTAACATGATTAAAATATTCAAAACACTTCTCAACTGCTGCATCCCAAAACTCGACTTAAACAGAGTGATGCATAAAATATTTCCTGGTGAAGGTATTTGTGTGAACTGGCATCCCATAATAGGTGTTCCCCTGTGATGCCTCGGCTCCAGGCCCCACTGCAACCCTGACCAGGATAAGCAGTTAGATGATGGATGGATGGATGGCATCTCAGTGGTAATGTCTATTCCAGTACAGATTAACCAACGTACCGTCTCTGATATTTGGTGTATTAAAATACAAAGATATTTGGGGAACCGTGAAGCTGCTCTGACTGCAGTGCAGAATATGCAGCAGTTTGGGGTTCAGACCCCTCCCCCAGGGACATGGAAGAATCACGGTTAGGGTTTATTTTAGTCAGCACACCACTCTATAGTTCACCCAGCTTTTACGGCACATCTCACCACCTCTCAGAGGTCAGAGTCCAGTAACCTCTGAACAACCACCACCAGAGAAGGAGGAGATTCATGTGAGTTTGAGCTTTGCTCCCTGACAAGGTCTCATTCAGGACGAGCTCCTGGGTAAGATACACAGGTGGCTCCCGGCCCCAAATAGAGCTCCCACTCTTGCTCCTCTTGGTCTGTGCCCACCCCCCCAAGCTGACACACTGGGAATCATGTTTCTTTCTGCTGCTTCTCGGCCGTCGTCAACCTCGTCACTGGATTCCCTGTTCCAGTACATTGAGGAGCATCAGGATGAGTTTGTCCAGGTGAGATCGATCAGTTCTGGGAGATTTAGGAAAGGAGCGAGTCTGAAAGGTTCCCAAGTGTGTACATAGTATAATGAAACGTTTGTGTGCTTCCTTCAATGATAAATAACATACAAGGAGTAACACCTCCACAGACAAACACTGAGCATTTCCATGTGCAGGAGGAGTTTCTGAGGTAGAACTGGGGGAATAAAGGGTGCTTTTCCACTGCACCAGGTACAGTACTTTTGGTGCAGTATGTTTGGTGCTTTCCCTTTTCCATTGACTTATGGTCGAGTAACTACCAAAGGTTCCAGCACCTGGAGCGTCAAATCAGCTGGGGTATGTTTTTGGTACTTCTGGGTGGGACTTGAAAGGCTTTCATTATCGGTTGGTTATGCAAATAACCTGCCTCTGAAACACAATATGACCGCAGTCCTGAAAACAATCGCAAACTCAGAAAACAACGATAAACACAGCAAAAAATAAATAAAAGCGATAATAACGGATGAGCGGACGAGTGAAAGACCCAACGGGGGATAACAAACACCTCCACAGAGGAGCAGGCAGAGCTTCCATGTGCGAGAGAGTTTTTGAGATTAAAGTGTCAGAGTTTCAGGTGCTGTGGCAGCTGGTGTGCAGTTAGTGTTTGCTGGGGAGCCGGAGGGTAAATAACCCCCCCCTGGCTGCCTAAGGGTCCCAAAGGGAGGGATTCACAGTGACTTAAAAAGAGCTAAGAGGACAGTGCAAGACAAGAGGGGTGGGGTTTGTAAGCCGAGTAGATGTTTACGCTTGGAGGGGGCAAAAAAGCTGCATCTTGCTTACCTTATGTGTGAGATTACGCATGTATCTGATGCACACATAACATATGATTATGTCAGCCAATAGGGTATCAACAAACCGCCTATGCAAAGGGCCTGTGCAGATCATGTGCAACATTGGTCTTGGCAATTAATTCTGATTTCGACTCAGCCGTCTGGGGGGGGTGGGGGGGGCAGGGCTGTATTATTATATTTCCAACACTATGGTGATAAATAATGTAGCAGCATTAGCGGGACAAGTAAACATCCAACATGGACACGCCCAATCTGTGCCGAGCAGGGATGGCAACTTTGGTCAGCTGGCCGGCGTGAGATTTTCAATTCGAGACAAATCTGCAGACGCATTTACATGTATGTAACATCTTATAAATAGTCTGTATAACCGAATAATATAAATTTGCTGTAAGATATCTTGCTTGAGTGCGAGAGTCTGACAGTGTGAGTGTCACGCCAGATGTGTGGGAGTTGGCAGCGCTGGTGCTCAGGAAGATCTCAACTGAATCCATCTGTCCAGCAGAAGCTGGGCGAGTGGGTGTCTGTGCAGAGTGACTCCAGCACCCCAGCGCTGTGGGGCGAGGTGGAGCGTGTCCTCAGCATGACGGCAGACAGAATCACAGCCATGGGGGGTGTCGTGGAGCGCGCTGACATTGGCGCTCAGCAGGTACACTTGCCGTAGTGTCCCATACAAACAGATACGTAACAAAGCAACGTGGCATGACTTTACTTAAAGGCATGGTTTTAGTAGTTTATAAACACCTTTATAACAAATAATAAAGCATTCATAAAGTATTATAAACATGGTTATCAACATTCATCAAAGGGCACAACACATTATAGCCATGTGCATTATGCTTTATGAATGCTCTATGAAGCTACCATCTATTACACACCATGGATACCTTCATAATGCATTATGATAGTATAAGCATTAAGGATGCCTTACACTGCATTATAAAGCTATCTATAGTGCATTATAGACGAGAACCTCATAAGTATGATGCATTTTCATAAATTCTTATTGTTATGCTTTATGAATGCATTATAACACATTATGAATGTTTATAAATTAGTAAAAACATCACCTATTAATAGTATTAATAAAATTAACAGTATTAATACAAATGTTTTTCATAATCTTGATTTTAAAGTACTATGAACGTTTTAAGTAATTCTGTTAATAGCTAGAGAATTACACTAGCGAGTGGGTTCAGGCAGGATGTAGATCCTTCCCTGGCTCACAGTGGCCCTCCCCTCTCTCCACCTTACTGCGGAAGCTTCCAGGTGGGCAGTCTGTAAGAAGGCCACCCGTCATCCTAGCCCAATTTCACATGGACCCAGAGAAAGCCACCCTCTGTATCTATGGCCACGTGGATGTCCAGCCTGCCAAGAAGGAAGATGGCTGGGACACGGACCCGTACACACTGACCGAGCTCAATGGTGTGCCCCTCTACTCCCTATGATCACTGATTCAGAGAATTCAGAGAAGTTGAGGGGTGTTCCTTTGTGACATTGTGTCCTTTCCTGTTGCCTAGGTAACCTGTATGGCAGAGGTGCCACAGACAACAAGGGGCCAGTACTAGCCTGGCTCCATGCCATAGAAACCTACCAAGCCACCAGTCAGGTTTGTTCCCATAGTGATGAACACTAATGATTGGTTGTTGGGTACATTTGTTAACAAGTTTAATGGGTTAAAGACTGAAAAAAGAAACATGTTTGATAAGGGGCTTTGGTACGTGGCTTTTCTCCTACATTCCTGTTCCAAAGCAACCACAGTACTGGTCCTCAGACCTTCTAGAAGACCAGCAGATGCTTTTTTCAGGAACTACCAGTGAACATAAAGCTGATCATCGAGGGGCTGGAAGAAGTGGGATCCGATGGCCTGGAGGAGCTGACTCAGAGGTGCAAAGACAGCTTCTTCTCTGACGTGGACTACATCGTCATCTCTGACAACGTGTGGGCGACCAGGAGGCCTGCCCTCACCTATGGGACCCGAGGCAGTAGCTATTTCTTTGTGGAGGTACGGTGGCCAGAAGGTGTCATGGGGGTCTGCTCACCAACAACCAGATCCTAGAGACAAGAACCCCTTGAGTTGGAAGGCTGACTGAAGTCAGAATATAAGTAACCACAGAGAAGATGATCGTGCCCATTGAATGCATAGTGTGCTGGAGCGTCATTCGCTTGGTGTAGGTGTCTACCTGCTTTCTTCCTGACCTTCCACTGTGGTGAACCTCGACCTCATTGTGTTGCAGGTCGAGGGCCCAAAAACTGATCTGCACTCGGGGGTGTTTGGGGGATCAGTGCATGAGCCCATGATGGACCTGATCGCTCTACTCGGTGAGCAGGACCACCCCCAAACACACAAACAGATTTTTGCAAGTGGCTATATTTTTCAGCCAGTAATGGTTAACCATGCACCCCCTGCTTCATCCTAAAGAGAAGAAGCCGGTTGCTGGAGAAATTGAGGTTAAGGCCCTTGCTCGAGGGTTCAGTCGGCCCACCCAGGGATTTGAACCAGAAACCTTCAGATCAGATGCACACCATCCTAACCGCTGAAACCACACATCACCCCGGTGCCTTCTGCATGACTATCATACCTCCCTCCTGACAGACAGCCTGTTGGGTCACACGGGGAAGATCCTGGTTCCTGGTCTAAATGAGATGGTGGCCCCCGTGACCAAGGAGGAGAGGAAGTTATACGAGGGCATCCATTTTGACTTGGAAGAAACGAAACTTGAGACTGGGGTGCAACGATTCCTGCAAGACAGCAAGGTACACCCCTCACTGCCCTCGTCACAGAGGCTGCATCACGGGACTTGGTCATTCCAGCCTTAACGTCTCCTTCCCCCTCGTCTCCAGGAGGGGGTGCTTATGGCTAGATGGCGCTACCCGTCTCTCTCCATCCACGGGATCGAGGGCGCCGTCTCCATTCAGGGGCCGCAGACTGTCATTCCCAAGCAGGTTGTTGGGAAGTTCTCGATCCGCTTAGTGCCGCACATGGAGCCCGCGACGGTGGAAAGACAGGTGCGGACCCTCCCTCTGACTCCAGCACCCCTGTGTGTCATTGTTCTGGTACCAGTAACTTGTTTTCCAGGTCAAGGAGCACCTGCATGGGGTGTTTGCCCAGCTAAACAGTCCGAACAGGTTGAGAGTGACCTCAAGTGTGGGGGCCTGGCCGTGGCTGGCTGATCTGAAGGACCCGCAGTATGTGGCTGGGTGCAGGGCGGTGGAAGTGGGTGCGTTTCACTGTCATGGTGATGAGCTCTGCCTGTGCTTGTGTGAACATCCTCCCGGGATTCCGGGTGCCCAAGCACTAGCTGTTAGTGTGCAAATGCAACAGAAAATACAGTCAGGACTGTGGTTTCAGGCCACCTTCTCAAGTCACAAACAGTAACTATCACGACACATGATTAAGATATTCCCTGTTGAAAAGCAGCATATGACCAATGTTTTTTTTTTTTTTTTTTTTTTTTTTTTTTTTTTAATATATATCACAAACACACTTCTTACCCACTCTTTTGCTTATTTATATATTTTTTTAAAACTGGCTTGTTAGTGTTTGGAGTGGAGCCAGAGCTGATCAGAGAGGGATCCACCATTCCCATTGCTCACGACTTCCACAAAGTGACTGGGAAAAGCGTGATGATGCTGCCGATTGGTGGCCATGACGACGGAGAGCACTCTCAGAAGGAGAAGATCAGCAGGTAGGGATGTAACAGTCACTCTGTCCCTTTTAACGAAAGACGCTACATTAATGTTATTCTATCTATCTGTGAAGTCTCACGCATTGGCCGTGAAACACGCTTTTCACGCTTTTTCCACACCTTGTGTTTCTCACGCTGAGAAGGGGCTTCATAGCCACCTAACAGTAATTTAAATTAAAATGAGGTTTTAAATCGTCAAACACATATCTTCTCTTCTCAGGTACAACTTCATTCAAGGGACAAAGCTTTTTGTGGCTTATTTTCACGAACTGTCCATGCTTCACAAAAGCCTTCCCCAAATTCAGTGTAATATATGAAACTCCTTGTGGTCTTAAATAAAGATGGTCTTTCCTTTGGCTCCACCTTGTGTCTTCTTCAGGAATCGCATTTACGCATCCGCTGGACCGTCCGTCGACTCCGTCCTTTTTCAATTAGATTATTTTGCATATTTTTGCAGATTCAGCTCTGACGAGAAAAGTGTGGATTTAAATATTCTTTCTTGAATGTCATTTTTTTCCCATATATTTTTAAAAAATTGTCAACCTCAAAGTTATGAAAATAAAAATAAATCATACTTAGGAGTTTTTCTAGGCAAGTCGCACAAATGCGGTTGTAAACCACAGTAAGAAATAAGATATGAACGGTGTATTTTTTTTTCTTAATAGTATGAGAAGTATCTTGTGAGTGCGGTTCCTTTTTTGTAACTATATTTAAATACAACAATCAATACGCGCCATGCAACGTCAATAACTGAACTGACTGTTTACAAGATTGCTGTGCATTCACAGGAGTTTATCACTGCACACCAACAATCTTCCACTTCGCAATGAACAGTTTGAGTTGTATACAAATACTTCCCATCTAACCGAAGGAGCATAGAATCATTAAAACTTATCGAAGATTTTATTTCCAGGTAGCTTTAAATCGGCAAGAGCCCCTGCAAATCCTGCGGTTCTAGTTCAAGCGCCAGTGCATAATTGTTCCTTCTTAAAATTCAGTAAACCCTTAATCACTTCTAGCCTTTCGTTGCTGTGTATTATTACAGACTTTAGCATTTTCTGCGATGACTGAATCCCCACGTAAACTATGTTGCACCTTGTCTGACTGGGTTTCCTCCCATACCCCAAATACATGCAGTTAGGTGATATTCGTCGTCTGTACGTTGCCCATAATGTATGCGTGTGTGTTTGAAGATTAAATCGATTTAAACTGGGGTACCTTAAATCCAACAGATTACCCGGCTAAGCAAGAAATCCGAATTCGTAAAACAGGCCCCGGGAAACTGTGCTTTGTGCTGCTTGGGGAAAGGAAAAATTCAATTGCTTGGGCATACCTGCGAACCGGAAGTGGAAAAGAAACATTTAGGCGCAATCATCGGTAGCAATGCAATCAGACGGCACGGAATACAAGGTATTTAGAAGCAAAGGTGAGAACTTTCTGTTCCTGGGAACACCTCTCTGCAGGAAGGTCCACGCGAACCCTCACACCCCTGCAGATAAACCACGCCGCGCGAGCCAGGACAGCACGAACGCCAGCTGAGCGTGTGACGTACAGCTCATTCTACGGTGCGCCACTAGTGACTAAGACCATAAAGAGCGGACGGAGAAAACACTCACGTATTTTCGGGTAAGGCTTAACATTTTGCACATATAACCACATTCTACACACGTGCCGACGTTTCCAGAGATGCACTGCTATTCAGGTTTTCTTCGATCCAGTAATTCGGTTCATTAAACCGCATATTTCCGAGGTCGCATTTGGCAGGCTTTTTGGGCCTCTGTGCTGCCGTCGTTTTCTGAGCTTTGAGCCCACCTGGCCCGCCCTCCTTGCCGTGTCATTGGACACCGACGGTAATTCTCTTTCTTGATTGGCCGTCTGGCACATCTTTAATTTTGAGTCTCGGCAACCATTCGAAGTTGGGGAAGTGCCTAAAAACGAGATAACTAGGGAGTCAACGGAATGCTAATATTATATGTTAACCTGGCGCTTAAGCTGCGCATTTTATCAAAAAGGTGAATTCATTTAAGCATTCTCCATTTAATTAAGTCAGCATTTTGACACCGAAATTGTACACGGACTCAAAATAATGGCTAGCCTGCAGTAGTAGCGGGCTAGGATACCCGTTAGCCCGGCTTCCTTGCGTTGCGCTTCTCATGTTCCCGCGAAGTTCATTTTTTCTCCCACTCTGACTGTCGCCTTATTCTGTTCCCGAAATGGCGGGGCGAGTAATGGAAATGACAGGTCGTTACGCATCCCACAGCCGCGACGGATCCTTTGCGGTGTCCATGGGAGGCAAACTTTGCGAGACGCGCCGCCACCCGAGGTCGGCCGGCTGCTAAGACGTTAAACCCGAAACGGCTCGCGGGACTGTAACGGCAAAACACGGAGCTGCTCCCCGGAATAAAACACTTTAATAAGTTTAGCACAGCTCATACTGGGGAGGCCTTGTTCTGTATGTAATTAATATCCAAAAGTAATCTGGCAGCTCTGCCGTGGGAACTTTTCCGACTGGAATGTGCTGTCAGATCCATGCCCGTGGATGGTTACTGTCCTGGGACATTTAATAAAACGCGCCTGTTTTAGCTGCGTGGTCAAATAGCTAATGAGAGTTCATAATTAGCCAAGGTGTATGTATAGCGTTAGTGTACTCTCGGTTTGTTGCTATATTGCTCGAGTTTTTATGCAACATGGAACATTGTAGTTTAAATATACCAGATAAGGAATATATAATTACCGAATTATGTCAGGCAACGCATAGTACAGTGAAATTTTTGACGTGTGCTTTAGACTAAGTAATAGCAAACGATGAATACTACTACTGAGGACAATGTAGCATGGACTCGTTTACAGGTTGAAGTGCAGGAAACAGCGGACTGCCTTTGTTGTTCATTTCAGGCACAACGAAATGCAGTCTGCATTATACGTTTAATTTACAATATGTACAGATGTTTTTTAACGCTGAATATTGATTCCTAATATGAATAAAATGTATGCAATTTAAATAATTAACGGATTGTCGCTCAGCTGTAAGCATTTGCGGCTGCTGAGCATGCGGAGTGTGTCGCTGCTGTCGGGGGTCCACGTCACACGTCTCCGCTTTTAGGGAATCCTTAATGTTCGGGGGAACCCCAGAGTGCCTGGCCTGAAAACCTTCGTTTCCTTTTCATTGGTGGAACAATTATTTTTTTAAAAACATTGCCCACACTTCTTGTGTGAAATGGTTTAACTAAATATTGTAACCTCAATATTAATGATATAAATTAATGATATTTCAGTTCTTCTTGGCTTCTGATGTGCATTTTCAGCAGCCTGAGAAATATCATGCCCCCCAACAATAAACAAGCAAAGAAGCAAATAAATAAAATGATTTTTGTGCAGTTTAATGGTTATCTTGAAAAGTCATAAGTACAAGAAATCTCATCGAGTTTTCAAGATGGGTCAAAGAAAATTGCTGAAATAATTGTCTCTGTGCTTCTGGTCGGGTTCATCATGACCCTATACTGGATAACTGGTTATGTAAGATGCATGGATAGTGTTTTTAAAATCATATGAAGGGTGCGATCTGTCTGACCTTACGGCTGAGTGTCTCCCGATTGTGTCTGTGTTGCCGACGGGTTCTGTTTTCATCCTCTCCTTCTGAAAGTGTTCAATCACCTGGTGTAGAAGACGGAGGATGACTGTGTAAGGGTTAACGCTAAAGGCATTTACTTTTAGCTGATGGTAAGAGACTGGCAGTGCTGCTGTGTGTGTGTGAGAGAGATATTTCAGGACTGATGAGCTCTGTTGATGCCCCGCTGCCAGGGATAGCGCAGAGTGTTTGGACATAAGAGCTTATGTGGACAGATGAGAAGGGGCTTTTCATCCTGTAAAAATAGGCCTTTTAGACTTGAAGGTGAGGGCCCAAGGCATTGTACCAGGAGGTCACCGTCATCGTTGAATCCCCCACGTAGTAACTACTGCACATCTTTGTCAGCTCAATTGCCTTGTATTTACTCTCCTTTAAATTAAATTTATCTGTTGCCTTTTGTCTGTTGCCTCGGCTCTCTAAGTGATGTCACTTATTTTAGTGTTTTCTGCGGATTAGCCAGGTTATTGGGTGTGGCTGTGTATACGTGAAGGCTGTGCTTTAGTGAGAGTCCTAATGGGGCCCCTATGCTGCATTGATTGCTCTCTCCGAAGGATGTACCTCTTAAAGTGACACATCACTTTCTGTTTGCAAGCCCATTATGTACCCATGAGGATCTGAAGTCCAAATCGTCGTGTCCTTTATATTTCCCGCAGAGTGTGATTTTGTGTGTCGGTGCCCGGCAGTGGACAGGAATCCTGTCTATGGTGTTACGCCCTGTATTTCTGGGTATAGACTCCAGACTTGCTGTCATCCTGTATGGAAAACGGAACATAGAAGATGCATGGATGTAGGTTTTCTTACTGTCAAACAGACATCACATGTAATTAAATCCAGCAGGTTCATATTTGTGTTTAGGAGGGATTTGTCTTTTCTGAATTTGCATTGACTGTCTTGTTTGAATTGTATCGGTCCACAGGTATACTGCTACTTTGTAATGAATTACTGTCTCTGTAACTTTACCTTTTAATAGAAGTTAGGCTAATTGATGTATAGGGTGAGGGATTGTTTCTGTGCTGCTCTTCTATGGATTAGTGTTACTTGAGATTTTCCAGTCTGTCTGTGCTATTCCCATCTCTATTGATTTCTGGGATAAAATACAAGAAGCATGTAACTAATAAGCGTGCTCTGCTTTTAAACAGCTCACTTCTTGTCAATTGCTCTAAATTTGTCTGAAGATTAGCAGAACCCTGTAGTACATTTGTCTCGGATATTTTCTTGGCTTCTCTCCTACTACAATGTCTGAAGCAGCCAAGTCCCGGTCATTTGAACATAATGGCTGGTCCTGTTTTTGTGAACAATCATCAACACACTGAAGCACACTTGCTGTTAGTTTGTGCCGTTATTGGCATTTTATCATGGGTATTCCTCATTCCCATTCTCATATAAAATCTTAAATTTGCTACTACATGTTAGCATTCATTTTTCAAATACTGTGGTAATGATTTTGATTTCAAAGGCAGGGGTTGTTGAGTATCATTCCCGCAGTTGCAACAGGACACAAGTTACTTCATACTCTTTTAATATTGACTAATACAGTATTTAACAGTAACCACAAATGCTAATCTTTATTTGAGTTTCTAACATTTTAGTTTTTGCCCTCTATCTTGAAAGTAAGAGCTTGGTTGAAAGTATCCATTGATACTTGTATGGTGGCCCCTTCATTTTATTTTCACAAATGGTGCTTCATCATTTAGTAACTGGGTCAAGATTTTTTATTTAAATTTTCTTACTTTACAGTGCATGTGTGTTTATAAACAATAATGTCACTCAGTCTGTTGACATAATACATTTTTCTGATATTGTATTCCACCTTCCCTGTCATACTGGAGTTACCATCCATACCCCCATGGTCCCTGTTTCACTTGCACCATTTAAACAGTTAACGAATGTGGCTTCCCTGGCAGGAAGGAGTCATTGGTTAATATTATATGTTCCTTGTCACACACCCCCGCTTAAACAGCCCAGTGTAATTTATGTGCCAATTTTCCTCCCCAGGTGAAAATATCACTAATAGAATTTTACGACACTGCTGCATGTGGCCTGTTTTTAGTTGTCTAAAATGGACACCTGTGCAAAGATTTTCTTTCAATTTTACCTCTGTATGACTTGGTCCCTACATCAGTTAACCTTTTTGAGTCATTTTCGTCACCCACATCTTCATTTTATTTCTCCATAGTGTCAAACTAGTCCACTAGATGGTGACAAATGATCATATTGGTTCTTGCTTTGTTGGAACACATTGTGTAACTCTTGCTCCAATACTGCAAGCACTTGTACCTAGGTTTTCATTGGAAGCTCTGCCTAGCCGCACTTTTGCTCCTCGACAGCATGTATGATGTGCCACTTGCCTCACTTGTACTTTGTTTTGGACAAAAGCATTTGCTAAATAAATGTAATAGCAGTACCTTCAAGGATTTGTATGGCATTACTTTTTTGTAATTTACTTTTTTTAGAAGACAAGTTAAATATGAAGTCTATGAATCTTATGGAAAGATTTGAGAATGTTTAAAATGAATTATTTTGTTTTAACAGGTGAAGGACAAAAAAAACTATGATTTCATTCATCTGAATATTGGAAATCAATTAGACAATGAAATGGATAACTCAAAGAATAAACGAAAGTTAAGGTCAGGAAAGGAAGTAGCTGATGATAAAGTGGTACATGAAGATGAAGGGAATGGCTCAAGTGTCAAACAGGGATGTGATGTCCGATCTGAGGCTAAACGGCCCAGGACTAGCAACGCCACTGATGAAGACAAGACCCCAGGTGAGCCTTGTCCAGCACCGGCGGTGGAAGCAACAGCGACTACAAGAGATGGGCAGCAGCCCGATAGTGGCCCCACATCGGACTGCAGCTGTGAGTGCACTGTTTGTGATTTTGTGGCTAAAACCCCTACAGCTTTGAAAGTGCACACCACAAGAAAACACTCTCGGAAGGGGGCTGGCCTTAGGGGCGATGGCAGTAGGAGAGGAAAAGCAAATCAAAACACTGAACAGGAAGGCCACATCCAAAGCGCTGTATCTTTAGATCCCAGCAACAATGAAAGTATCCAACAGTGCTGCTTTAAGGCAAACAGTACTAACCAGATAGACAGGCATGTGAAGGAGACCCATCAGGAAAGTCCCAGTGGGGAGACGGAGACGGAGGCAGAGAAAAACGTGACTGTTAAGTTGAGCAAAAACAGTGAGATGGCCCGCCGGGAGAGCCATCATAACGATGGTGATGACCTACCACTCGCAGGGTCCAAAACAGACTGTGGACCTGAGGGGCCCAGTCCTGCTCCTGGGACAAAGGTGGGCCTTAATAACAAAAGTGAGCAGGATAACAGGGTCAGTCCGACTCGCATGCTGTTAGAAATGGTTGATAATAATGTGGAGAAGACACACATGGGAAAAGAAGCAGAGAACGAAACCATGGAAGAGTTGGAAAGCATCAAAGCCTCCGACGGAAGTAGCCAAAAGAGAAATCAGGGTCTTGTCAAAGGTTTGAAGGCAGCAACAGACTCTGAAATTGACATTGACCCCACTGAGAAAAGTGCTAATGTTGATGCGGCAGGTGGCACACCCGGTAGCATTCAAGCAGGGAAAGAAGCACCCACAGTACCTATAGCACAAGGACAGGTTCACAGCAAAGTTGTTAAAAGAGGGTTAAAACCTAAGACTCAAAACACCTGTAGCTACTGTGGACAGCTATTTCCAGACAGGCCTAGCCTGGCAATTCACGTTAAAAGGCAGCATGCTAAAGAAAGTAACTTCCTTTGCAAAGTTTGTTTGTACTCTTGTGCAACAAAGTCTGAATATGAAAAACACTGCTGCAGCAGCAGGCACAAGAGATTGGTTTCAGAAAAGACTGGGACTCAGGGTGCCCTGGCACTAGTGGCCAGTAGCGCCAAGCAGCAGAACGTTCATGAAATTGAGTTTCATGCTCATGGCGAGGGCTCCAAATCTAGTGCTACTCGTCTGGCTGCTGCCCAGCTGCTGAAACGCTCAGCAAATGCCAGGGTGCAGCTGCAGTGCAAGGCCTGTGCATACAAAACATACTCCTCCACTCTTCTGCTGAGGCACGAGAGGCTGAAGCACTCCAAGGAGATCCGCTTCCATTGCAAGCCCTGCGGTTACTATGCATCGACTTCAGAGGGCATGGAGAAACACCTCGCCAGGAAGAAGCACCAGCAGTCAGCCAGGAGAGAGAACCTTGGAGCATCTTTTGATGAGTGCGTGGAAAAAGTATGCTTGAAGTTGTCAGAAATTCAACCACCTCCCAATGAGATCCCAGATACCAGCAAGGACCTGACAAATGATGAAGACAACCTTGATGGGCAAACCAACGAAGCCACAGGTGCTGAAGGAAGTGCAGAAGTTATTGACCAGAAAAGCCTGCCTAAAAAGAGACGAGGTCGGCCAAAGGGGTCCACTGTTACAACTTGTGACTATTGTGGGCTGATAGCCTCCAATGCTACCAATCTCAGTGTCCACATCCGGCGGAGGCATAGCCACCAGTATAGCTTTGGCTGCAAGTTATGCAGCTACTATTGCGTAACCAAAGGTGACATGGATCGACACTGTGCCACCAAGAAGCACATGAAGCGAATGGAGGAAGCTAACGCTGATAATCCAGAAGATAATCAGGTAGATCCAAGCAGTGTGGTAGAAGTTCTGAACAATGGACAGCCATCCCAAGCAAAGACTTCTGGGGATTATCCTGGTGAAGGAGAAGCCATGCAAGCCACACAGGGGTCTTTGGATGAAGCAGCAATAGCTAGTGGGCAACTCTCTCATTCTGAGGATGGACAAGAATCTGAGTCTGGACAGGTAGTGTCTGTCCTAGGGAATGCATGTCAGGAACTGGATGGCTCAGCTCAGAAAAAAAGCAAATACGACTCTGTCAACTCTTGTGCTCACTGTGATTTTGTTGCCCATTCTTTGCCGTCTCTGGACCTTCACATAAAGCGGAAGCACACCAAGGACTTTGAGTTTGTCTGTAAGGCCTGCAGTTACTATGCGGTCACTCGCCGGGAAATGACACGACACGCCACAACTGAGAAGCACAAGCAGAAGAGCCAGTCCTACCTGGAGTCTCTGAGGAAGAATGAGAGCAGGCCGAGCCAGGCAAACAAAGAAGCAGAGAATGAAGGAGAGCCCAAACTGGAGAGCAACGATATCCCTTTTACAGAGAGTTCCCAGGTGGACGAAACTGTGTCAGACCAAAAGACAAATGCTGGAAAATGTCAGAGTGGTGAAATGTCAGAAAGTGTTGCCTCTGTCCCAAATGTTGCTAGAGAAGCAACTGGCTCAGCAGAACCATACACTATAGATGCTGTTGTGAGTGAGAAGGCCGTAAAAAGTCAAGGAAACCTCGAAACTATCAACAATGAAGGACATTCAGCCTTAGATGAGAATTCTAAAGATGTTGAGCTGAGCCGTGGAGAAAGCCCAGCACCATCAAAGGACATTCCATTGACTAAACCTGCTGGAGAACCAGTGGAAGACTCTGCTCTAGAGTCAGAGGAACTCCCTGAGGATGACCTCCCAGAGGGAGGAACAGAAACAGAGGATGACTGCTTGGTGGAGAGTCTGTCAGATGCAGATCCAGACTATGCTGACAGAAGAGAAGATGGTTCTTTATCTGTCAAGCAGCTAGTAAGGGCTGTTCCTTTCGATGCATCCATTGTTTCCGCAAAAGCCTTTCTAGAACTGGAGCCCTCTGCGCTGGATGAAACCCATGCTACGAGGACATCATCTGCTGGTAACTCTGCTGGCAATTCAAGTCCTCTGAGTGGCAAGAAAAATAGTGGTCTTAGGTCCAAGGGATCCACGAGCTCACGGATCCGCTGTGAGGACTGTGGCTTCCTGGCTGATGGCCTGAGTGGCCTGAATGTTCACATAGCCATGAAGCACCCATCAAAGGAGAAGCACTTCCACTGTCTTCTATGCGGCAAGTCCTTCTACACTGAGAGCAACCTGCACCAGCACCTGACTAGTGCTGCCCACCTGCGCAATGAGCAAGCCAGCATCGAGGAGTTGCCCGAAGGCGGAGCCTCCTTCAAATGTGTCAAGTGCACGGAGCCCTTTGAGACGGAGCAGGACCTCTTCATGCACATCAAGGAAAAGCATGAGGAGCTGCTGCGTGAGGTCAACAAGTATGTCTTGGAGGACACTGAGCAAATCAACAAGGAGCGTGAGGAGAACCAGGGCAACGTGTGCAAGTATTGCGGGAAGGTGTGCAAGAGCAGCAACTCTATGGCCTTTCTGGCACATGTCCGCACGCATACAGGTATGTCTCTGTCCCACCTTTTTTTTTTTTTTTTAAATGAAATACTTTTTTCAAGGGTGTGGAGTGTTTAGATGGTCTTGATTATTCCATTGTTCCATGCAATTTTATAGATCACATTTGATGTCAGGCTTCTGGGGTATTTTACATTAGCGTGGGTAGAAGACACGGCGTATAAATATTGACTGATTGTTCATTACCTGATGCTCAGATGAAATGTTAAAGCCCCGACCTCCATCACCACCCCAATCCCCCTTGGTAGCTTCTGTCCAGACAGCGACAGGTCTGTCTGGTACTCATCACCACATCCCCAACAAGATCTTATGCAGGTCTGTCTTAATACACTGAATGCAGGCCAGACTCCCTACATTCAAAGCAAGAGAGTTTGAGAGCTTGATGTAGATGAGACTCACTTTCCCTGTGTCTGGACAGGCATGCTGCTTTGAATTAATGTGTCCATTACCTGGATTCTCTTGTAATTACAGTCAATAACTCTTGTTGGATGTGTTAAAGCTCACTAAAAGCATGTGAAATCCAAAACAGAGTTTGGCTAATTCTTTAAAATAATCAATGCAGGCTCTTCAGATCCTAATTTCCCCTGTGTGTGGAGGACTGATCATTCTTAATCCGTTAAGATTAATTTTGCTGTTTACGATGCAAAGCGGGTCCGTACTGATTGCAGGAACGATTGGAGAACATCCAGCAGAGTAAGTGGTAAATTTACTTCTGTGAAGATTAAAAAAAAGAAACTTCGAAAAATATATATTTAAATATTTAAATATTCATAACATTTTTCTCATTAATTAGCTGCTTAGCAGGCGTGACTTAGCGCAGGTGTACATTATAGGGTTATGTTTTCCCATTTATTTGGCTGCCTGTGCTTTTATTCTTGATGATTCCGGAAGGGCCCAAGCCCAGGATTGGAACCTGCATCATTCTGGCCAGTGGGCTGCATATTTATAATGGGTTTTAAGATGTGTATGTGGGAGGAAAAAAAAGCATCAGCACAAGGCCTGCTTGGTCCTTGGGGTCCCATCATGGTCTCTTCTTTGTTTGAGACTGATGCCTCACAAACGTCGTGACCTAGATTCTTGAGGCCCGAAAGGATCTGTTACACACACACAAACTGGCAAAACCACATTCCACCTGCTGATCTCAGGTGACACACTGCCCTGGCTCTCTAGCATAAAGTACTCATTAAATGGATGGAAGCTAAATGGATCATGCGCTGTCTTTGCACACTGTGTTAAGCTTGGTACACACCAAACCAACAGCAAAAGACTAGCGCCGACTAAGACCAATGAACGGTCAGCTCCTGTCGACCGATGTTTGTTGCCATCAACTGCCGTCAATTGTAAAAATTGTAGACTCGAGGCGACGATTGATATACAGCCCATTCAGAGAGCTCGGTTTTGCCGACTACCTCCGACACCGATTCAACAAGCTCAATCGGCCAAAACGGCACTGATGGTGACCAACCATGTCCAGCCACGCCATACGTTGGCATGACGGACATTCGCTGGTGCCGTGATGGCTCCCGATGTCCGAAAACGTGCTGGGTGTGTAATGTAGGTTTTAATATAAAGCTCCTCACTTTTGTCACCTTTGTGGATTTAAGATTCGTCATGGATCCACAGGGCTTGTTTCGCCTGCTTCATCGTCTTGGGTCACCTTGCATTTTTTCACTCAGCCCTCTGTTAGGTTGGATGTTGACTTCAGGGCACAGGGGGGATGAGGGATGGACAGACCACACCGTCGGACACCTTTGCTTTCCAGAAAACGAAGAGGAAGGTTTTATGAAACGAGGCAGTCTTTCCCAGTGTCACCTTCCAGTTTGGTCGCCGGTGTTAATTTAGCATGACACCGTGTTAACGGTCAACTTCCGTCACACAGAACGCATTTTACCAGAATGGCATTTCTGAATTTGACATGAAATGATGGTTAATAGATCGAATATCCTTCACAGTTCCCATGCTTGCTGACCCCTGTGTCTGGCTGCATGGTAGGAGGAGTTGGAGGGGGGGAACACGCTCTAAGGTCTCCCTTTATTGCCTCGACCTGAACCCCCCCCCCCCCACCAATTCTGCCTCTGTTTATCACCTGGTCACCTTTCAGTCTTTGTCGTTTCTCAAGCCTTCCAACATGTGGCTGGTTGACTCTCAGTTTGCGGCAAGTGAATTCTGCAGTGTGTCCTTTAGTTATGCCAAGATTATTGCACCTAGTCTAGTTTTTGCTGACAAGGTTTCTTCTGCACACTAGGGGATGCCATTGAGTTCAAATAAAAATGGCATTATTTCTGTTTGCATGTAGGCATTGGGTTATTCATTGATTATTGATTTTCCAGCCCCGCGCGCTGTGGCCTTACGGAAGTCCAGGCCCAAGTGGGCAGTTCTGGTGACTGCCTCCTCCCCCTTAACTACATACCTAGTTTCTTAGCTGCCTGTGGCCCACTAACGACCCTGGGAGTGTGCTGAGCAATGTTGATGGATGATGTCCTACACCACATACTCCTTCATCCGGACACTTATGACCCTCCCCCCCCCACCCCTACTCAATTTATTAATGACAATAATTAGGAGTAAACCTCCTCTCAAACCCAAGCTTGGTGATTAGCGCTTTGATGATGGAGTGACCAGTGAACGTAGGGGACTGATTTACACATCTCACCTGGCCTCGCTTGGAGGGAGAAGGAGCAGACCTGGGCTTCTCACTGTCCCCTGATTTTCCTTGACTGCCCTCGAATTAAGAGGAGACCAGTCTGTGTGAAGAAAGCAGAGTTTGTCGGCTATAAGATCCAGTGGGAGTCATCAATGTTTCTCAAAAGGCCAGCATGTTGCACATTTCACATTAAATCAGACACGTTTGCCCCAAAATGGTGATTTCTGTATGGTATATCTGTGACTCTGCTGGGGTAGCGGATTGAAGTACACCAATGATTACGATGGGGTAATTGTTTGCCTCACACCAGTTAATATTTAATTTTCATCAGGGTCGAAGCCTTTCAAGTGCAAGATCTGCAACTTTGCCACCGCTCAGCTTGGAGACGCCCGCAACCACGTGAAGAGGCACCTGGGCATGCGGGAGTACAAGTGCCACGTGTGTGGGTGAGTGCTGTGATGTCAGCGGGCGAGGGACCTTTACAGGAAGAGTACGAGGAGAGAAGAAGGTGGGAGCTTAGAAGAAGGTGACGAGCTGCATGATAGAACACCAGTCTCTGTGATTATTCCTTACAGGAATACAGTAAGCCTGGCTTTCTGGGCAGCAAAATGAGTAAGATGATGTTGGGTTTGTTATGGGGAGGTACACTTAGGTCCTGGCTAATCACTTGCCTACATTCACTGCAGCGTTGTTGCAGTATTGTTAATATAGTGCTCAACACCATGTGTACTCAAGTTAGGTCCCATTCCATCCTGTGAACTAACATGTTTGATTTCATGTTGGTATGGTGATCTGCCAATATGGTATCACTGTAACCGGTTCCTCTAACCTACTTTTCTATGATTAATTCCTCTGCTATTAGTATTATTATTAGTATTAGTATTGCTCTTCCATTACTTTGTGCTCATTTGCTGCTCCTTGGGTTATTTTCGGTGTAAAGGGTAAGTCAATGCAGAGCGCTGGGTTGCAACGGTTTCTTCAGCATGGGGGCAGTGGGCCTTCGGCCGTGGGGAGTGATAGTAAGTCATCTCTCTCGTTCGGCCTCACTCTGAGCCTCCTGGAGTTTGGATGCCACGCACTGCATTCTTCTGCTGGCTCACCGTATCGCGAGCTCTTCCTTGAGTACATACACACACACACACACACACACACGGGCACAAACAAACCGACCAAAGCTGAAGCACACTGATGGAGCACACAAGAGTCACAGGAACCGTTGAGTGGTATAACCTCTCGCTTCTGTCATAAAGGGCCTCTCTCGCGCTTACTAACCACACTGTGTGCAGACATGAAGATGATGTAGACGTGCCTTTTTGGTTCTTTGCCTCTGATGTCTCCTTGACAGAAGTGGGGAAAGATATCAAAGGCGTCTGTTGTGTTGATGAACAGACAAGACTTAACATCTGCTCCGTGTTTAAGTGGCTGCTCGCAGTAATGGGGGAGCACATCTCAGAGTATTACCATTCAGCAGCTGTGTTAGCGGGAGCTTGAGCGCCATTACATACATGTCATCTCGATTCGCCTTAATTGCATGACTATTTAGAAAACTACTCCGCTCATGCTAATTGCCTCTTTTCATGAATACCTTCTCTCCATAACTGATCTCCCGTGGTCATTAAAGTACTTCATTTATATTTTGTAGAATAACATAAAGACGTTCTAATGAATTAGGCCAGCTCAGGCCAGTGTTATATACTGTGTATTTATTTTTTCATTGCGTTATGAGATGGAAAATGAATGCTTTAAGTGCACTTTTATTTTTGATCAAAACGAGTGTGCTTTTCTCATTAATGCACCGCTGCCTCTTTACGGCCCCCGCATGCGAAGCTGGTGTGGGTTCTGATGCGCCACCTAAACCACGCTAACAGGCCAGCACCCGACCTTATTTTCCCCAAGCATGGGTGGGCATGTTTTTGGCGTAGACCGAAGAAAAGGTTGTTGATGCTCGGAAACCGCATTGTGCGTGGCATTTCATTAACGGATGCAAATCAAGGCCATAGCCCAACCGAAACTTTGACCCATCTGCCAGTCAGACGAGAAACCTGTTCGCTGAGGGACTCTGCCCTGTC